AGCTGGAAAAACCAGAGACTCTGGAAAAACAATTACAGGGAGAAACTGGAAGAATATTAGATTTCTAGTTATGTATTTTGATGTTTAGCTCATGAATTTGAAATCAGTGTTTAGCAGGAATGATCTATCTCTGCTCAATGTGACATTAGCTGGGATGGCTCAAAGGCCTGGAGTTGAAATAATCTAAAGTCTGACTGCTTTCAGTGAGGGTAACTGGCCTAACAGCTACGCATGGATTACCCATACAGTCTTTCTGCTTCCTCATGGCATGGTGGTTGGGTACAAGAGTGAGTCTCCCAAGAAGACCAGACAGAAACTGTATCACCTTTGATAACATGGATTACAAAGTTATACAGCATCATTTCCACCATAGTTACAGGCCTCCCAGATTCAAGAGGTGGAAGTACAGTTGAACAATGTGAGGGTAACTGGCAACTACCTCCAGTGCAGTCAGAAATTCATGTATAACTTTTGGCTCCCCAGGTACTTAACTACTAATAGCCTTCTGTTGATTAGAAGCCTTACGGATAACATAAAAGATTGCTTAACACGTTTGTATGTTATATGTATTATATGCTATATTCTGACAATAAAGTAAGCTAGAGAAAGAAAACATTATTAAGAAAATCATAAGGAAGAGAAAATATATTTACTGTTCATGAAATGGAAGTGTATCATCTTAAAGGTCTTTATCTGTGTTGTCTTCACTTTGAGTAGACTGAGGAGGAGGAAGAGGGTGTAGGTATACTTTCTCAGGGATAGTAGAAGTGGAGGAAGTAGAAGAGGAAGCAGAAGAGGCTAGCATGCTCTGCTTAACTTTTATTGAAAAAAATGCACATATAAGTAGACCTGTGCCCCTCAAACCTGTGTTGCTTAAGGAATAACTGTAGATCCCATTTCCCAATGAGAAGACTATCATTGTTACATTGTAAGAAGAGCTGTGGGATGGAGAGCGTATTGCATGCCATCTTGGAATACACCATCTGCCACAAGCCGTGATCAGTACCCTTGGTGCGTTCATAAACACTGAGCTTGTCAACTAAATTAGCTCTTGTTCAACAATAACCCCAGAGAATATATTTGTGTATACTTAAATACATACACATAAACATACATAATAAGTACTTAGTGAATAAGACTAATTCTTAGATTCAACTTGCTTCCAAGATATTTTCTGTGTTATGCCTAAGGGTAAGGGCAGGGAATTGGGCCACTCAGTTAATTTAAAATAAAAGTGTTTCACTGTCACCATCTTTTTATTTTTTTTCTGGGAAAATAAATTGGGCTGCTGAGTTTTGGACCCAAATCATTTCCATGGTAACACAGCCTAATATGCTAAAAGTCAGGTTATAGTTCCTTCCAATATTTGAAATATCTGTATATGGTCTGCATTGCCAAGGTGGGTGGATCACAAGGTCAGGAGATCAAGACTATCCTGGCTAACATGGTGAAACCCCATCTCTACTAAAAATACCACAAATTACCCAGGTGTGGTAGCATGCTCTTATAGTCCCAGCTACTCAGGAGGCTGAGGCAGGAGAACTGCTTGAACCCGGGAAGCAAAGGTTGTAGTGAGCTGAGATTGCACCACTGCACTCCAGCCTGGATGACAGAGAGAGATTCTGTTTAAAAAAAAAAATAGTACACTTAGCAGAGAATAACATTACCATTAACCCCCCCCCACACATACATATGCACTCATGCACATATTTATACACACATTTTTACACACAAGGAACATGAGTGTTAAACAAATTTCATAATTTATATTAAACGATTTTAACTATGGAGGAAATGACACTGTTCAGCCTGGTCTTCTCAGGTCTGCATTAAGCCAAATTTTCTTGTTTGGAATTTTGATCAGTTAGTTGACTTTAGACAGATTCTGATCATGTAAAGCATGAGGGGAAAAAAAGTCAACAATCATAGATACAGAAGGGAGAATAATTACAATCTTTGGAAATTCCAAATCGTTCAATGTGGCTTAAGAGTCATTTATATCTAAGGGAGGATAATGAGGCTGCAGTCTTATTTTTAATTTTAGGACTTTTAATTATGAAGTATTTCAAAAATACAGAAAAGTACAGAAAATATAATAATATTGTAAGGGTTATTGCCGAGATTAAAATGAGGAAACTGAGGCCAGTATAAGAACAATTAAATGCCAATGTATTTAACTCCCGGGTGAGGTTCTGTGGTCCCGGGGAAAGGGGCCAGAGAAGTCACGCCTGACTCCTCTCAGGCGTGGAGTTTTATAGGGAGGGAAGGTGTTCTGATTGGCTGTGGAGAAACAGGACGTGGACGGGGCAAGCTGCTACTGGTAGGTAGGCGGGATTTCCAGTGAGTGAGCTGGACCGGGTACAATGCTATTGGGCAGGTTTTGGTGGGGCTTCTTTTAAATTTAGGCAGGTTTTCCAACCACTGGCTAGGTGCCCAGTGCAGAGTTTAGTGTTGAGTGCAGATTCTGGTGCGGAGTGCGGAAGTGGGCGTGTGTTGCGTGGAGATTCTGGTGACTTAGTTTTCAGGCATGGAGAGGGCTGGGCGTGTCCAAGCTCCCGGCGAGGCAACCGGCCTTACAACTATGAGAACTTTATATCCATCCCCATAGTTAGCACGCATTAGCCATTGGCTATGTTTTTCTCAAATCCCTTTTCTTTCTAAATGAATAAGGTATTAACTATTCAGTCAGCTCACTACTTACCTCTTCCTTTACCACCGCACCCACCCCAGAAATCATCATTCTCAAAACATTATGTGTGATATTCTTTGTATGTTTCCATGTATTAATGCCATTAAAAGGTAAACTGAGGCACTTTAAAGTTTTGGAATTTTTTTCGACCAGACAACAACTCATGAATTGGGCAGCTCCAAATTGCAGGTGATTCTGGGCTTCACTGAAGGGTCATGAAGTGCTTTTGTTGAGTTGACATGAAAACAAGTCAAAGAGACTATAGCATCACTTAAAGTGGAGAAATAGCCTTATTTGTATCATTCTAATGAGAAGTCCCTTAGTTGGCAGTGTTTGACTGGCTAAGCTTAAATTTCCTTTTACTGTTTACACTTTGGTTTATGTAGGAATCCAGGATGCTTAAGCCACCTCAGTCTAATAGCCTCCCAATAAATTATTTTAACAGTACTTATGAAGAGATCCCTACACTGTTGTATCTTTATAATTTAAAAGTGTGAGAAATGGGATCAGAGAGTATGTGTCCTTTTGCCGCTTGTTTCTATCACTGAGCATTTTGATTTCGTGCTTTAGCCACAGGTGAACAGGCCATATGAAGAGGGAGATGAGCATTCACTGTCGCACAGTTTATCATTTGGTCAACTAAATTTATAATTCACCTGAGAATGAGTTGACAATGACAGGCAGACAGGACTGGACACCAGACAGAAGAGTGAACACAAGAAAAAAGAAATGTGGTTATTCGTACCCTAGTTGTTCCATCTACTCTTCCGCGTATAATCCATCCTACAAGGGCAGTTACAGGGGCTGCTTGGTCTTTGATGATTACAGGATAGAAACCCAATGATTTTCCAGGAGACAGTCTACCCTAAGTGAGGTCTAGGCTTGTGCAGAGATTAAGGAGCCAAATCTCTGGGCTCCCATCAGAAAACTGGTGATTCCTTGTAACCCAGGCCCACTTCTTGCCCCTCTAGATCTCCTTTTCTACTGGGAACTGTCTTACTAGTGAGATCTGTATCACACAGTTTGGGAGAGCAGGGAGGTTAGGTGGGTGGCTACTGTTCGGGTTCCTTCTTGTCCTTCCACACACATACCCACTTCCATTTCCTACTGCCATGAGAAACACCTCACTTGATGTTCTAGGCCAATTGCCAGTTAGTGATTTTCAACTTTTTAAAATGTTGTTAAAACAAAATAACTAAAGGGGTATTTATTTCCAGGAAACAAAATTGAGTCACTGATTTCATCAGATACATGTGAGCTGTTATGTATACTCTGTCTCTCCTCCATTGACTATATGACCCTGAATGTTTCAGAGACACTCCTTACATACAGAAGTTCCCTCAAAACAAAAAGTGACTATGCACACATTTTACTTTTTAGATGGCATTTACTTATTCAATAATATCTACAAAATTAAACGTTATAGTGACCTTGTGTCACTGTCAACTAGTTACATTTTATTTCTGTTGCATTTCCAAGTGTGTTAAACTACAAGCAAGTGGCTTTATGCAAATTAAACCGCATGGAAGCTTTTTAGGCCTTGTTCAGATACTAACAGGTTTGATAAATATATTTGTCTAGCAAGAATAGGACAAAGAGATCTCTGTTTACCGACATAGTTTATTGTCATTCTGCTGTATATCTCTCATGTGGCTGTTTTATGGGACATAAAGTCTAGCTATCCTGTCGGAATCTCAGATCTTATTTATAGCTTGCTGCAAAGTGGCTTATTGTCATTTATTATTTCTTAGTTGATTTATATAGCATCTTTTCACCAAAGAACCCATAGATTTATTTACACACAGAGTACACACACACACACTCACATATACACATTCTTTTTTTTTTTTTTAGACAGAGTTTCGCTCTTGTTACCCAGGCTGGATTGCAATGGCGCAATCTCGGCTCACCGCAACCTCCGCCTCCTGGGTTCAGGCAATTCTCCTGCCTCAGCCTCCTGAGTAGCTGGGATTACAGGCACGTGCCACCATGCCCAGCTAATTTTTTGTATTTTTAGTAGAGACGGGGTTTCACCATGTGGACCAGGATGGTCTCGATCTCTTGACCTCGTGATCCACCCGCCTCGGCCTCCCAAAGGGCTGGGATTACAGGCTTGAGCCACTGTGCCCAGCTGTACATATACACATTCTTACACACATCCTTGAACTGAATTCACTCAATCCTATCATGTAGCTAGCAGTATAGCATCAAAAATCTGTATGAGCCTTTTCCATTTGTTTTTGTTCTAAGACCATGTTCTGGGAGGGCAGCTGCCATATTTTCTTTCACTTTGTTTGTCTTTTGCCTCTAGGTGGATCGGATCATTTTCTGTGTCTTCTTAGAAGTTGACTTCAAAATCTACAAAAAGAAAATGAATGAGTTTTTCTCTGTAGGTGAGTAAAGCAACTTGTTTCCTTTCAAACTGAGGATTGAAAAAGTGTAGGCATCACTTCTGTTCCTTTTGTTTTTCATCTTTGGGACAGTCACACGCTGTCACCCCTGCCAACTAGTATCATAGTTTCTTTTTCTTTCTTTTTTTTTTATTGCATTTATTTCTTTTTCTTTCTTTTTTTTTTATTGCGTTTGGGGTACATGTGCAGAACATGCAAGATAGTTGCATAAGTACAAACGTGGCAGTATGATTTGCTGCCTTCCTCCCCTTCACTCACATTTGGCATTTCTCCCCATGCTATCCCTCCCCAACTCCCCCCCTCCACTGTCCCTCCTCTATTCCCCCCAATAGACCCCAGTGTGCTCCCCTCCCTGTGTCCATGTGTTCTCATTGTTCATCACCCTCCTATGAATGAGAGAACATGCGGTATTTCATTTTCTGTTCTTGTGTCAGTTTGCTGAGAATGATGTTCTCCAGATTCATCCATGTCCCTAAAAAGGACACGAACTCATCCTTTTTGATTGCTGCATAATATTCCATGGTGTATATGTGACACATTTTCCCAGTCCAGTCTATCATCGATGGGCATTTGGGTTGGTTCCAGGTCTTTGCTATTGTAAACAGTGCCGCCATGAACATTCGTGTGCATGTGTCCTTATAGTAGAGCGATTTATAGTCTTTTGGATATATACCCAGTAATGGGATTGCTGGGTCAAATGGAATTTCTATTTCTAGGTCCTTGAGGAATCGCCACACTGTCTTCCACAATGGTTGAACTAATTTACACTCCCACCAGCAGTGTAAAAGTGTTCCTGTTTCTCCACATCCTCTCCAGCATCTGTTGTCTCCAGATTTTTTAATGATCGTCATTCTAACTGACGTGAGATGGTATCTCAATGTAGTTTTGATTTGCATTTCTCTGATGACCGGTGATATGAGCATCTTTTCATATATTTGTTGGCCTCATGTATGTCTTCTTTTGTAAAGTGTCTGTTCATATCCTTTGCCCATTTTTGAATGGGCTTGTTTTTTTCTTGTAAATCTGTTTGAGTTCTTTGTAAATTCTGGATATCAGCCCTTTGTCAGATGCGTAAACTGCAAAAATTTTTTCCCATTCTGTTGGTTGCCGATTCACTCTAACGACTGTTTCTTTTGCCGTGCAGAAGCTGTGGAGTTTGATTAGGCCCCATATGTCTATTTTGGCTTTTGTCGCCAACACTTTTGGTGTTTTGGTCATGAAGTCCTTGCCTACTCCTATGTCCTGAATGGTTTTGCCTAGATTTCCTTCTAGGGTTTTTATCGTGCCAGGTCTTATGTTTAAGTCTTTAATCTATCTGGAGTTAATTTTAGTGTAAGGTGTCAGGAAGGGGTCCAGTTTCTGCTTTCTGCACATGGCTAGCCAGTTTTCCCAACACTATTTATTAAACAGGGAAGTCTTTCCCCATTGCTTGTTTTTGTCAGGTTTATCCAAGACTGTATGGTTGTAGATATGTTGTGTTGCCTCTGATTCCTCTGTTCTGTTCCATTGGTCTATATCTCTCTTTTGGTACCAGTACCATGCTGTTTTAATTACTGTAGCCTTGTAGTATAGTTTGAAGTCTGGTAGTGTGATGCCTTCTGCTGTGTTCTTTTTGCTTAGAATTGACTTGGCTATGCAGGATCTCTTTTGGTTCCATATGAAGTTTAAGGTGGTTTTTTCCAGTTCTGTGAAGAAGGTCATTGGTAGCTTGATGGGGATAGCATTCCATCTGTAAATTACTTTGCTCAGTATGGCCATTTTCACGATATTGATTCTTCCTAACCATGAACATGGAATGTTTCTCCATCTGTTTGTGTCCTCTCTTATTTCATTGAGCAGTGGTTTGTAGTTCTCCTTGAAGAGGTCCTTTACGTTCCTTGTTAGTTGTATTCCTAGGTATTTTATTCTCTTTTTAGCGATTGTGAATGGCAGTTTGTTCTTGATTTGGCTCTCTTTAAGTCTGTTATTGGTGTATAGGAATGCTTGTGATTTTTGCACATTGATTTTATATCCTGAGACTTTGCTGAAGTTGCTTATCAGTTTCAGGAGTTTTTGGGCTGAGATGATGGGGTCTTTTAGATATATTATCATGTCATCTTCAAATAGAGACAATTTGGCTTCCTCCTTTCCTATTTGAATACCCTCTATTTCTTTTTCTTGACTAATTGCTCTGGCTAGAACTTCCAGTACTATATTGTATAGGAGTGGTGAGAGAGGGCATCCTTGTCTAGTGCCGGATTTCAAAAAATGCTTCCAGTTTTTGCCCATTCAGTATGATATTGGCTGTTGGTTTGTTGTAAATAGCTTTTATTATTTTGAGATGCATTCCATCAATACCGAGTTTATTGAGGGTTTTTAGCTTAAAGGGCTGTTGAATTTTGTCAAAGGCCTTCTCTGTGTCAATTGAGATAATCATGTGGTTTTTGTTTTTGGTCCTGTTTATGTGGTGAATTACGTTTATAGATTTGCATATGTTGAACCAGCCTTGCATCCCTGGGATGAATCCTACTTGATCATGATGGGTAAGCTTTTTGATGTGCTGTTGCAATTGGTTTGCCAGTATTTTATTGAAGATTTTCGCGTCTATGTTCATCACGGATATTGGCCTGAAGTTTTCTTTTCTTGTTGAGTCTCTGCCGGGTTTTGGTATTAGAATGATGTTGGTCTCATAAAATGATTGGGAAGGATTCCCTCTTTATGGATTATTTGGAATAGTTTCAGAAGGAACGGTAACAGTTCATCTTTGTGTGTCTGGTATAACTCGGCTGTGAACCCATCTGGACCTGGGATTTTTTTTGTGTGGTAGGCTTTTAATTGCTGCCTCAACTTCAGATCTTGTCATTGGTCTATCATAGTTTCAGCTTCTTCCTGGTTTAGGCTTGGGAGGACACAAGTGTCCAGGAATTTATCCCTTTCTCCAGGTTTACTAGTTTATGTGCATAGAGTTGTTTGTAATATTCTTTGATGATGGTTTGAATTTCTGTGGAATCTGTGGTGATTTCCCCTTTATTGTTTTTTATTGCATCTATTTGGTTATTTTCTCTTTTGTTTTTTATCAATCTGGCTAGTGGTCTATTTTGTTGATCTTTTCAAAAAACCAGCTCTGGGATTTATTGATTTTTTTGAAGGATTTTTCATGTCTCTATCTCCTTCAGTTCTGCTCTAATCTTAGTTATTTCTTGTCTTCTGCTAGGTTTTGAGTTTTTTTGATCTTGCTCCTCTAGCTCTTTCAATTTTGATGATAGGGTGTCAATTTTGGATCTCTCCACTCTTCTCATGTGGGCACTTATTGCTATATATTTTCCTCTAGAGACTGCTTTAAATGTGTCCCAGGGATCTGGTATGTTATGTCTTCGTTCTCATTGGTTTTGAAAAACTTCTTTATTTCTGCCTTCATTTCATTGTTTATCCAGTCAGCATTCAAGAGCCAGTCGTTCAGTTTCCATGAAGCTGTGCAGTTCTGAGTTAGTTTCTGAATTCTGAGCTCTAACTTGATTGCACTGTGGTCTGAGAGAGTATTTGTTACGATTTCAGTTGTTTTGCATTTGCTGAGGAGTGATTTACTTCCAATTATGTGGTCAATTTTCGAGTAGGTATGATGTGGTGCTGAGAAGAATGTATATTCTGTGGATTTGGGGTGGAGAGTTCTGTAAATGTCTATCAGGTTTGCTTGTTCCAGGTCTGAGTTCAAGTCCTGGATATCCTTGTTAATTTTCTCTCTGGTTGATCTGTCTACTATTGACAGTGGAGTGTTAAAGTCTCCCACTATTATTGTGTGGGAGTCTTAGTCTCTTTGTAAGTCATTAAGAACTTGCCTTATATATCTGGGTGCTCCTGTATTGGTTCCATATATATTTACAATTATTAGCTCTTCTTGTTGTATCGATCCGTTTACCATTATGTGATGTCCTTCTTTGTCTCTTTTGATCTTTGTTGCTTTAAAGTCTATTTTATCAGAATGAGAATTGCAACTCCTGCTTTTTTTTGCTCTCCATTTGCTTGGTAAATCTTCCTCCATCCCTTTATTTTGAGCCTTTGAGTATCCATGCATGTGAGATGGGTTTCCTGGATACAGCACACTGATTTATCGGCTTTTTATCCAAATTGGCTTTTTATCCAATTTGCCAGTCTGTGTCTTTTGATTGGTGTATTTAGCCCCTTTACATTTAGGGTTAATATTGTTATGTGTGAATTTGATACTGCCATTTTGATGCTAGCTGGCTGTTTTGCCCGTTAGTTGATGCAGATTCTTCATTTTGTTGATGCTCTTTAGCATTTGGTATGTTTTTGGAGTGACTGGTACTGGTTGTTCCTTTCTATGTGTAGTGCCTCTTTTCAGGAGCTCTTGTAAAGTAGGCCTGGTGGTGACAAAATCTCTGAGTACTTGCTTGTTCATGAAGGATTTTATTTTTCCTTCACTTATAAAGCTTAGTTTGGCTGGATATGAAATTCTGGGTTGAAAGTTCTTTTCTTTAAGGATGTTGAATATTGGCCCCCACTCTCTTTTGGCTTGTAGGGTTTCTGCTAAGAGCTCTGCTGTGAGTCTGATGGGCTTCCCTTTGTGGGTAACCCGACCTTTCTTTCTGGCTGCCTGTAACATTTTCTCCTTCATTTCAACCCTGGTGAATCTGACAATTATGTGCCTTGGGGCTCTTCTTGCGGAATATCTTTGTGGTGTTCTCTGTATTTCCTGGACTTGAATACTGGCCTGCCTCACTAGGTTGGGGTGTTGTATCATAGTTTCTAAGAAATGAACACGGAGACAGAAAATCTAGCCTCTGGAACTCACTGCCTCAAGAGGTCACTGTGTTATCTTAGGGAAGTCAGTTCATCTCTTGTGTCTCCTCAGTGCTTCACATCAAAACTGAGGGGCTAATTATTAATAAGTGATTTCCAAAGACACTTCCCCTGGCCCTAAATTGCATGATTTGTGGTTAGTTTGCCAGGCCCCATGCCTACATCTACCATGTTAAATAACACTGTTGGAAATTGTAAGCCCATTTATATTCATAGTCAGAATTCAAACTGTTCCAGCATTCCATCCCTATTCCTTCCCCAGTTTCTACCTCCAAATTTTAATGACTGTAGAAGCAGTTCCAGGACAATCTGAGAACAGTAGTCATTCACACTTCTTTTTAGAATATAGGAGAAACCTCAGGGTTATTAGAGAACCTTGAGTAATGTATTTACATTGATTGGATGTGCCATTAGTTAGATTTGAGTAATTTGAATATTTTCCTTCACTCTCCCTCTTGTAGCCTATTAAGGCTGAGGCTTGTTTAATGCCTTGTTATTTTTATGGTGCCATTAAAGTCACAGTGTCCAAAGTGCTTTCCTTAGCCATGGCAAGAATCGCTTCCAGGAAATTTCAAGCTACCGTGAGCACTGTTGGTACTTGCTTTTCAGAGTGTTTTCTTTTGAGGTTTCCATCTCCATCTGAAGTGGTTTGTCATATAACAGGTGACTCTGGCAGGTGGGAAGGAGTGAATAAAGGGTGCTGATGTACATTCATCCTCTTAAGCAGTCTATCACAGCAAAACAATAAAGAGGATGCCTTACCTGTAGATCAGAGTGGGATGTGGGTAGCTATCCAGAACAGCTATAGAAAACCAACAGAGATGGTCAACTCTCTGCTTATGCCCTACATGGGCTAAGTTCTTCCAAGTGATTTGAAGTACTTCTCCCTAATTTTATAATTGAAAGGTGAATCTGCTAAGTGCCTTTAATTTAGGGCTTTAACCAAAGTATATCTCTAAAATGTGACTTGCTATGATGTATGAAGCAAATATTCTCATGTCCTGTCAGTATCAAATCATAATTTATAAGATTTTATAAATTTTAGACTCTTTGAGATGTTTGGAAATAATGATATCAGATTCATTTGCATGTCTTCTAAAATAAAGTCTGCAGGAAGCCACACTAACATAAGATAAAAAATAATTACATAATTATGATCTATTGATATTGAAACTAACCTATCAGCAGGTATTTCCAATGATGCAGAATCAAAAAGCACACTGCAAAATTTTTAAAACATAAGACAGTTTTAGGAGTATTAAATATATTAATAATTATGCAAACAAATTACTGATTGAAAAATTGCTTCTTTAAATAAATTTTTTAATGCATTGCAGCACATGAGCAAATGAAGTAATAAAATAATCCTCAATCTCACATCAATGCTTTGAAGTACACAGTGCTCATGAAATTATTTTCAGTCCATATTTACAATAGTAAGTACATTTAAAATGAAGCGTCAAAATCCTCAAAAATGCTAGAGTATTTCTGCAATGTCAAAGCACTAGGTATTTGAAAATTCTAAATATGTAATATGAAATAAAGGTGATGTCTAATGGAATGTGACTACTAATATAGATAATATACCTTATCTGTCAATAATCTGAACTTGTGTTTAATTCATAACTATGCCATCTTTGAATTAGAATATATTTCTTCTCACTTGCCATGTATTTCCTTAGACTGAATTATTACAGAAAATATCTGTAGCAAGTGTTCATAATCTTTCCCAATGCAATAATGATAAAAATTCAGAAAAAAATCATTTTTATAATTAAACAAAAAGTCTGTGTTTTAGAGTACTTTATTCCCATGTCCGTAAATTTTATAATTGGGAATCTGACACACAATGCATGATAAGACAATAAAAGACTCAAAGAGATCATACTAAAGGTATGACACATGCATAACTACTACAGTTCAATAATAATGTTGATAGTTAACAATCATAATTAATATATTAAATAATAACATAATGGTTAATCATAATTCAAATATTTTTGATTTGGTTTCTATCAGCCAGACACAGCATTCATTTCTTTACATGGGTAAATCATTAATCTTCATGATAACTCTAAGAAAGGGGGTACTGTGTTCACCCTGTGGGGTGGTTCCATTGTTAGGGTTTTTACTAATTTGGTCTTGAGGTTTCTTCTCTTGAGAATGGCCATAAGCCAGGATAGCCACTATCCAGGAAAGCTCTGAAAGGGGTTGGGGAAAGGTTAGGTTCAGACGTGTGTCAGAGGAGACACAGTGAGGAAGTGAAACTAAAATGCATGAAACAGACATGTATTACTCACAGGTCTCAGACAGATGAGGGGCGCCAACAGGAAGCCTGGAGGTGGCAGGAAGTGCAGCCAGCAAGTGGCAAGCAAGAGAGAGCAAGCACCTGGGGACTGTCTTTATTAGGTCTGTATGCACCACCCTTTAGGCTTTCCCATGGGGGCTGTGGATCGACTAGTTTAAAGAAAACAGGAAGCAGGAACTTACTTCTATGATTCTGACACTATTAGGTTTTTATCATGATCAGTAGTTGTGGAGCATATTGGGTTTGGGGTCAGCTGGATGAGGAACAAGTGGAGCATATCACAAAAAATCACACAGGGAGGGAAGTTTAAGTAGGTCAAAGGTGACAGGATACAACTGGGTTTCAAACAACTTACGTTAGGCCTAAAACTGGATGCTAGCCAGGCACAGTGGCTCATACCTATAGAAGGAGGATTGCTTGAATCCAGGAATTTGAGGCTAGGCTAGACAACATAGCAAGAACTTGTCTCTACAAAAAAAAAAAAAAAAAAAGGTTAAAAATTAGCTGGGCTTGGTGCTGCATGCCTACAGTACCAACTACTCAGGAGGCTGAGATGGAAGGACCACTTGAGTCTGGGAGTTTGAGGCTACAGTTGGCTATGATTGCACCACAGAACTCCAGCCTGGGTGACAAAGCGAGACCCCATCTCTAAAAAGTATCAATCAATCAATCAATATTGTAGAGATTTTAAGGCCAAAAGGAAAAAAAAAAGGATGCCAAGGCAGCAACTATATTAAACAAATTTATGATACCTTCTGTTTCGGGGATGAAAAACGAGTCATTCAGCTGGAAAGCAACAGAGCTGTATTTTAAAATTGAGAACAGCATCTGCCATTGCCCAAGTGGTAACAGGTTTGTTTTCTCAGAACATCTTCAGAGAAAGATGAGATCAACTTTCAGGTTGCATTTGGAGTATTGGGAAAGTCCCATTTCATCTGGTGCCCGTAATTTTTCAGAGATGCCACATTTCTATTTCTTCTAACACCTAGAAATATCTTTAGGGAGACTTTTCTAATATGGGTTAAATTAGTGCTTTTACCATTCATCTCAAAATTGAATTCCATTCACATCATAGAGATATTGTGGTGCTATTACCTGCAGATGAGCAGGTAAGTGGGGAAGGAGAAGCCCAATGGCCTTTACAGCACATCTACAGGAGCAGATGGAAAATTGCTTATATTAGTTTACCAGGGCTCCAAAAACAAAGTACCAGAGAGAGCGGGTGGCTTAAAACACAAAAATGTATTTTCTGATTATTCTAGAGGCTGGAAGTCCAAGGCCAAGTGGGGCCTCTTCTGAGGCCTCACTCCTTGGCTTGTAGATGGCTGTCTTCTCTCTGTACTTTAAAATGACCTTCCCACTGAGTCATTTGTGCTGTATCTTTCTCTCTGCATAAGCATACCAGTCAAATGGGATTAGGACCCACTCTAATTACCTCATTTTAATTTAATTAGCTCTTAAAGGTCCTATCTCCAAATATAGTCATATTCTAAGATGTGGGGGGTTAGACCTTCAACATAAAAATTCACAGGGAGGGAAGCATCACACACTGGGGTCTGTGGCGGGGGGAACTAGGGAAAAACAGTGGGGGGTGGGGAGTAGGGGAGGTATAACATAGGGAGAAATGCCAAATACTCAGATAAAGGTGATTGGGAGGAAGGCAGCAAATCACATTGCCATGTACGTACCTATGCAACAATCTTGAATGTTCTTCACATGTACCCCAAAACCTAAAACACAATAAAATATATATTTTTAAAAAATGATTTGAGAGTTGAGATATAACTACTATTTAGCAAAATAAGAATGGTTAAAAAAAAATCGTAGGACACAGTTCAGCCCACAACACTGCCCATCGTAGAAATGCATTAAGAAACTCCAGGGAAACCAGCAATTAGTTTTTTTCAACAGTTTTATATCTTGCTGTGGGGCAAAGCACATTTGACTTTTTCCATCCAGATGTACTATTTGAAAATAGAGTGTGGCAGCTTTATGGAATTATCATACACTTTGGTTGCAAATAATTTATAGTTACAGTGCACCATTACATGGCCTACAGCAAATAATATTTGTGTGATTCAACTCAGAAATCTCTTTGTTCTTTACATAAAAAGGCTTGTATTTTTTCAGTGTGTAGAATTTATTATGTGTAGTTTTCACTGGATGTAAAAAAAATGAAAAAAAGAAAAGACAATTCCCGATCTGGAATATGGAAGTCAGTTTTTGTTTGTTTGTTTGTTTGTTTATTTAACTAGTCTTAATTCTAATAGAGAACCGGGTGATATTAGTTTTCCTCATAATAACAATAAAGAATATACAGTTTATAACACTATTAAAGAATCCTGATGTTTGAAGCTTGAGACATCATGGTTAAACCCTCCTCTGCTCCTCACTTTAGGGAAAGCCAGTCTTCTCAACTAGAAACAATTTTCCCTCCTAGGGACATTCTGAGGTATTTTTGTTTTTCACAACCGAGGGAGGGGAGAGGCTACTGTCCTCTAGTGATTAGAGGCCAGGGATGCTGCTAAGCATTCTATAATGCACAGTATGACACCCCCCCAACTCTCCAACAGAGAATTATTCAGTCTCAAATGGCAGTAGTGACTGATGGCTGAGAAGCCATCTACTGGTACTGTCTCTTACCATTTAGGCCATAGTGGCAGTCTTTGCCTTTGGATTGGGGTTATTTTACAGTGTTTAGACTACTGATGCTTTACCCAATTTTGTACCCTCTCCATTCACGTACCCAAGATTTCTATATCTTGACATTTGTTAGCTGCATATACCCGCCATCCAGCCCCTACTCTCTAGGTCTTCCCGGCACCACCCCACTCCTGGTATCATTTATCTATTACTGCCCATAAAATTTAGAGTAATAATCTCAGAAAATATGATCTTTGCATAGGTTGTATATATCTAATAAAAGTGTAGACCTAAAGGCTAGCATACAGAGCAAGGAAAAACAAACTCACTAATGATTTTCTTTATATACCTCAAGCAAAGGCCATTGCTTCTTTGGCTTATGGTTTTTATTTTTTATCATTAGTTTGGTGACCATTGGTTGATAAACTCACCTTGTGAGCTCACAAAACATGTTTTAATTTTAGATACCTTCAACCCCTTATCAGTATCTGCATAGTAACTGATTAATTCACAATGAAATCACCTATGACTGAAAAATCTACTGACTGATCTTTTTTAAATTTGTTTTTCAGAGTCAGGGTCACACTCTGTCATTGAGTATGGGGTGCAGTAACACAATCATACTGATCATAACTGACTGCAGCCTTGAACTCCTGGGCTCAAGTGATCCTCCTGTCTCAATTTCCTGGGTGGCTGAGACTACAGGCATACTCCACCATGCCCAGCTAATTTTATTTGTTTGTTTGTTCTTTCTTTAGAAACATGGTCTCACCATGTTGTCCAGGCTTGTCTTGCACTTCTGGGCTCAAGTAATTCTCCTGCCTCAGCCTCCCAAGTCATTGAAATTATAGATGTAAACCACTATGCCTAGCTCTAATCTCTTTAGTTTTTTAACCATAAAAATAATTAAATTTGTCAATTTTGTTTCCAGCTTTGAAATGTATAGAACATATATGCAATATCCATGTCAACTTTACACACACACACACACACATATATGTATATATATGTGTGTATATATATACACACACACACACACACACACGTATATAATAAATATAAAACAATGCTGGGAAAAGTAATAAGATACGAAAATGAATTCCAGGATATGCATGTGCTTATCCCAAACCTGACACCTGTTTGTAAGAGGAAGATTTTCCTTAAGATGAAAAATTTCATTTATGTCTATGAAAATAATGTTAAAAGTATGTTTAAAAAATTAATAGAAGAAAAGGCTACAATATTCCCAGTGTTCTTGATATAAATAGTAAAATAATGAGCTATTTGATCCACTAACATTTGGGACATCTACCTAGTACAACATAAAATAATAAACCTTATAAAATTTCAAGAAGTTTGAATGCCTTAAAAATGAGCTTGGAAAATAGTAGACATATAAAAAACACATGAATAACAAGGTTTTATCTAGTTAGAACTAGGTAAACTTAATCTATAGGAATTATAAATTTATAAACTATAAACTTTACTGGAGATGATTTTTGGCCTTAAATACAGATTTTCTTTTTGTATTATATATAACATAAAAGCATATGAATAAAAAGTAAAACTATGTCAACTTTGAAAATTATATCTTGGGAACTTCTTGAACATTTAACATATCTCAATGTCTGTCTAAAATGCATAGATTTTATTTCTCAAATGTTGACAGACATGTTATTAATTTGCTTTATTTCAGTGTGTAAACATATTTAGGTTTCATGCATTTTACCTTCTTAGACACAGATAATGCTGGGAAAGTCTAACTTTGCATAATTATGGTAAAGAAAATTCCCAATTCAGATTTTGATGATAATTTTTATATCTTAAATGCATGCTTATTATTTTTTAAACAAAACAAATCAAGAAACTTCTCAATCACATGAATTATTTTGACCTTCTTGCAGTCTTCCAAACATGTAATAAATGTATTGACATGAATATATTTTTCATTTATTTTCCTAATCATGAGTTTCTGCCATTTATTTCTGTCTAAATTATACACATTCCTGCAACGCAACTTTAGCTGGGTTTTATATTATTATTATTTGACCTTTTTATGTTCTCTCATCAATGAAAAAATAAGTTTGTGAGAACAGAGACTATTCCTAATAGTCCATTGCCCTTTCAGAATCTGGAAAAAAATCTAAATATATAGTAAGCATGTATTAATGTAAATAAAAGCCTACCATGAGCCTAGACTGAAACTGCTCTGGTTGGAATATCTCCTCCAAAACTCAGGTTGAAATTTAATTGCCATTATAACGGTATTAACAGGTAAGACCTTTAAGAGTGATAGGCCATGAGGGCTCTAGCCTCATGGGAGGGATTGGCATCATGATAAAAGGGTGAGTTCAGCCTCTTGCCCTTTGCCTTCCACTGTCTTCTATCATGTGATGATGCAGCAAGAAGACCCCTCACCAGATGCCAGCACTTTGATACTGGGCTTCTCAGCTTCCAAAACTGTGAGCCAATACATTTCTGCTCATGATGTATTACCTAGTCTACAGTAGTCTGTAGCAGCACAAACAGACTAAGACAGAGACAATCTTTAACCAAAGTTTCAGGTAAAAATAATCTGTTTTTCTTAGAAACTCTTAAGTATTGTTGACATAGCCAGACAAGGGGATAGCACTGCTTTTTACATAATTTTCAAAAATTAACATTAAAAATAATTGAAAATTTAAAATTACCTTATCTGACAAATAGGCACAATACTTTTAAATTTTTACCCAGGAATTAAAAAAAAAATTTTTCTGGATTTCTCTTTTAAAAATCTGAGCTCTTTAAAAGCAAACAAGAGAAAGTACTCACATTATGTCTTCTGCATCTTCCCTTTACGCTGATTTTATAAGTTTATCAGGCCGGGCGCGGTGGCTCAAGCCTGTAATCCCAGCACTTTGGGAGGCTGAGGCAGGTGGATCACGAGGTCAAAAGATCGAGACCATCCTGGTCAACATGGTGAAACCCCATCTCTACTAAAAAGAATACAAAAAATTAGCTGGGTATGGTGGCGCATGCCTGTAATCCCAGCTACTCAGGAGGCTGAGGCAGGAGAATTGCTTGAACCCAGGAGGCGGAGATTGCGGTGAGCTGAGATCACGCCATTGCATGCCAGCCCGGGTAACAAGAGCGAAACTCCATCTCAAAAAAAAAAAAAGTTTATCTCATCCATTATCAGTCATTATATTTCTACTAGTTGTCAAATATTTATTATATGCCTACTATGTTTCCAAGGCTTTTATCAGTGTTACGTTTAAGATATTTTTCTTGTAATAGTCCTGAAGGGCACATATCATGCAGAAGAGTTGATAAACAATATTAGCAAATAATGAAATATAACGTTGGTACAGTAAGAGCATCCAGGAATTCAGAGGCAAATATGTATGAGGACCAGATTGATTGGGGCAATTTTCATGAAGAATGTGGCACTTCCAGTGATCTTTAAAGAATGAACAAGAGTAGAGAAGCTCACATCTAGTGTTGGGTAAGAAACATAGAGGGATTATGGCAGTTCAAATTTGAGAAATTGTAAAATAAAGTAGGATGCTTATGTCCAATTTGTGAAGCCCAGACTGAGAAATGTTGACACTCTCACCAATGTATTATGCAACTGGGCCTAAGAGTAAGCCCTTGACTGGGAAATAGGTTAGATTCCATATTTAAGAAGGATTCATTCAATTCATGACTTACAGACTGGCCTTTCAACAACACCCTATTGCCATGGATTCCTCATTTGCTTTTATTGAGATAGCAGGGAACAAAAGCTAAAAAAAAAAATGTCAGTATATTGGCCAAAGTCACATAGTTGGGTATGTCTGAGCTCAAATCCTTCCCACTAGGTAATGCTTGTTCCCAGAGCAATCCTGAAAACATAGACAATAGTTTGAAGCTACTTGTCCGCTAAAAAAGAAAGCCACATATTATCCATTGGCATTAGTGGGGCTAGAGCTACTGAAAAGCTAGAATTCCTCCAGTTATCTGATATATCCACATGTTCTCTTTCCTTCCTTCTCTCACCTCCTCTCTGGTCATCAATTTTCTAAGAATAATTATGAAGCACATGGTGTCATGAGCTGCTAAGATTTTC